CCTTCCCAACCCTCCAGCTCCCCCCAATGCGCCCCTGCTCCACCCATTCCGGCAACCCAAACACATGCGACAGCACTGCGGCCCCACCCCGGTCTGCGCCCTCAAACACGCCACCGCCAACACACTCGTCAAGCACCTCCCCACCGGCCCCCCAGCCCCCGGATCCGCCAACAACGGGCCATAATGACTCCCCAGAATATGCACCGGTAGGTCGGGGTGACTGTCCGCCAACCTCTCCACCAACTTGCCCTCGAACGGCGGTATAACACGCTCTCCCACAGGCGCTCTCCGCGCGTTCCAGCCACGCCCGCCAGCCCCTCGGGCGTCGTCACTGCGCGGGTGGGGGTGGTGCGGAGGGTTGCGTGCCCAGGGGTGGTGGGCGATGCCGAGCGCGGAAGGCGCCCAGCGTGTTGATGGTGCGCCGGGATGCCGTTGAAGGAGATGCATTTGAGCCCAAACTTCGCGGGAGCAGTTTCGGCGGCGGTGAGGGGGGTGAGGGTCGGGGTGAGGGTGGGGGTGAGCAGGGAGTGCAGGGCGAGGAGCGAGGCGGGGGAGTTGAGCGTGAAGGTTGCGGCGGCCTGTGGTGGGGGGTGGTTAGTGAGGTGTGTTGGGGAAGAAAAATGGGAGAGAGAGAGGGAGGGGGGGTTCCGTACGGAGAGAGTCACCCACGGCCGGTCGCCGTATTTGCGCTCGCGGGCCTCGTGCGCGATGCGCGTGTAGACGTCGCGGATGTGGCGCGGGGCGGGGGCCTGACCGGGCCGCGCGGACGGCGCGTTGATGAGCGCTTTGAGCGAGGGGGAGAGCTTCGACATGGTTTGGGGTTGTGCTTGTGTAACGGCGCCGGCGGTGTGCTTTACGAGTTGCTTGTTTTCTTCGTTTCCAGCTGCTTTTCGGTTTCTCTTCCCGTTCTTCGCCGCCGGGGCTGACATGTCAAGAGCAAAAACCGGCAACCGGGAAATCCAAATCTGCAAAAAAAAAAATACACAGCCAAACGACCGGTAGCTAGATCTGCCTGGTTCTATTCTAATTGGCCTGTCACAAGCTGTCGGCGCATCACGGCTTGCGCCGTTGAGATCCGGATCGGCAGGTGGCAACCCCCCTGTCAGTGCCCCTGGACCCGATGACCCCTCGCCCCATCCTGGTGGGTAAACAACCCCGACCGAGGCTCGCGGTCTGTGTTTCGGCAACCAAAAATGAGACCGAGACCCACAGTTTCAGCAGTCACAACGACGCAGTCTCAGCCCAGTTCGGGTACTGTATTCGATCACGTTGCGACGGGCCTGGAATCTGAAGAGGACAGTTGGAGCACAGGAGGTGTGGTAAGTCGCCGCTGGCTCTTCTATGCGTGTCATCCATGTCAGGGGCGTCATGCATATCCGTCAACGTGGGCGACGGGTGGGCGACGGGCACATGGCAACCGGTGCCCTCCCACCTCTCGTTCTGACAGTGGATGGAGTACATGTGTAGTACAAACAGTGAGGGCGGTTGTATCGGCCCGCGCCGCTAGAGTTGGTGTATGCTCTCGGTAGTATTTGTGCTTGAGCCGCTGTGCGAAGTTGGGGGTAGTAGATCAGGGCTCCGGCATCTGCGTGGGGAATGGCACCTTATCTGCGCTCTCTCCTTTGACCTGGCCACTGTGTAATATATCTCCAACGCGGGCGCATATGTACCCCATATTCCCGTTCGGAAGTGAACCGAACCAACACACCGACTGACACCTGACGCGCTGTGTGTTCTTGAAAGCTGGGCCGGAGCGGAGCAATGGCCGGGCAGAAGGGAACCAAACAGCCGTTCTGGCTTGGGTAAGTGGTCTACTCCGTCCATACTTGAACAAGGCCATACGTGTTTTGATTCGAATCCTATCCTGACAATGCCAACCCCTCGACAGCGGGGCCGCAGCCTCCATGGCAGTGTGCTTCAGTAGGTCAACAAGCCGCAGGGTATAACGAATGCACGTGCTGCTAACATACCTGCCTAGCACACCCTTTGGATGTCACAAAATAGTATGCCATTGGCCCCTTTATCTGCTAGCAGCGGAGTGCCAATTAACGCGTACCCACCGCAGCCGGATGCAGGTCCTCCAGACGCGTGCCCCCATGCTCTCGACCCTCTATACGTTCGCCCTTCGTGACGGTCCGTTCACCCAGTTCAATCGTACAAGATCCCGACGATACTGACTGTCCCATAATGCCACAGGAATCCCTTCATTATGGTCTGGCCTCTCCGCCTCCATCCTCCGCCAGTCCACCTACTCGACCGCCCGCTTCGGACTGTACAGCATCCTGTGCGGTCAAGTCCGGCAGAGATCAGAAACCTCCAAGCTGTCCACCGCATCCACCGTGGCATGTGCCGGCGTGGCGGGGGGTTTGGCGGGGATGATTGGGAACCCTACCGAGGTCATCCTCGTGCGTATGTGCGCCGACGCCGCCAAGCCGGCGGCCGAACGCTTCCACTACTCCGACGCCGTGACCGGGCTCTATCGCATCGGTAAGGAGGAGGGAATCAAGGTCTTTGGCAGGGGCCTGTCGGCGAATATCGCCCGGAGCGTGATTATGAGTAGGGCCCTTGACCCTCTCAAACTGAGGCAGGTGACTGTATGCTGACCGCGTGAAAAGATGTGTCTCAGATCGCGCCGTGAGTGTACCCTCCCGGGGTATGACCCCCTCAAGCTGACGCAAGTATGTTAGATACGCCGCGGCAAAACGCGCCATCTTACTGCGAACAAGCCTGAATGACGACATCCGTACGCACGCACTCGCTTCCTTGTTCGCGGGGACGGTGGCCACGACGGCATGTGCCCCTGCCGACGTGCTCAAGAGCAGAATACAGAGTGCTGCGAAGGGGTCAAGTGTAAGCTGTTTTCTTGGGCGGAGTTCGATTTGAGAGGCTGATATGACTGGTCTCCAGGTAATGCAGGTCATAAGAGACGGCCTGGGCCGCGAGGGCCCAATGTTCCTGATGAAAGGGTGGACGCCCGCTTGGCTGCGGCTGACGTACGCTGCCCAATCCTCCCAATCTTTGCATGTCCCGCTAACAGTCGGGAAGACCGCACACCGTGTTGACTTTTGTGATTATGGAGAAGTTGCAGGAGTTGGTAAACATGACGGCCCCAGCACCAGCCCGAGCAACGGTCTGAGGCCTGGGGTTGTTCTTCATGTCCCGAAATCGGGTAGATTAGACCAATTGAGCCAATCCAAAGCAGCCGCGTCATCCCAGGGATACATGCTTAGCGCCGGGTCGAACTCATTGTTGACCCTGCTGAGTGCCTCGACGATCTGGTCGTCAGACATGGACGAGAATTGAATCGGCTCCGACCAGGGCGGCGGCTCCATGAAACCGGAGACGGGCGGGCTGGGCCGGATGGCGTCTGCCATACTGAAGCTGGCGCGTGTGTTATTGCCCCGCGCGTACGCGGTTGAGGCGTGGTGCTGGGCAAGCAGTTCGGGGTGTGTCCCTGCACGTGGTCTAGCGGTGTTTTCGGGAGGGGCGGGAACCGATGCTGCTGCTTTCTTGACAATGTACTTGAGGTATTTCCCGTATAGAGTCGACATGCCATTCCGATGTTCGGTGGCCGAGCCGACCCGCTCCAGAACCTCGGCCGTTTCTTCGATTAGCGTTCGGACGCTGGGAGCCAGGTTTGAGTTGCCCGCGAACTGGCCGCTCAACCGCAATGCGAAACAGGCCGCGAAGGAGATCATTATTGCCGTGTTGTTTGGCATGCTCGACAACTGGCCTTCGCCCTGGATGGCCGCCCGCATCACGTTCAATGCTGACGAAAGACCGGCTGCGTGGAAAAAGTGGCGGACCTCGGTCGGGGCCGTCGGATGGTTGATAACTGTGCTGTAGATGGACAAACGGGTGTGTGTGACCAGGATCTGAACGTAGGGCGGCAGTCGGTGCTGAGGCCCGCTGCCGATAGAGATGCCCCATTTGGCATGCCATTCGTCGAAGAACTTCTCAACCATCATTTGAATGGACCGGGCAACCAAAGCGCCATCGGCCCGGCCATCCCGGGATTCATCACAGAGGGTTCGGATAGATGAGAATAGTTCATCCTGCGCTGGTCAGCATCTTCCACGCACGTGTTTTTTACTATGAACCTACCAGATCTCTTCGCAAAACTGCCATTGACACGAGATGCCCATCCATGGTGTCCGAGATATTCGACAAATGCCATTGGTCACACCCCCTGAGAATGGGTGTAATCGGCACGGTATAACAACGTCCCCTCGCCAAGCACATCCTGAACTTCGTTAGCTCGTGATCGACGTCAGGCCGTGTTAGCGAAATACTCACCCTCGTTCCAGCACAAACAATGATATCCAACACCTCTCCCGCCTCCTTAACAACCTTAGCCCAAACTCCGAGGTCGGCTCCACATCCCCAAACCCATCTAAAGCCAACGCCACCTTGGGATCGATACAATCAGCCCTCGCGATCCCTCCGAAGGTCCCTCCAAGCCCACCAGGGCCATCCCGAAGCGAGGCCATCGGCACAAGAATTTTGTGGAGCGACAAATCCAATGCCATGGTCGTCGCCATGGACACGTACCAACAGGTTTCGTCATCGGTGCTGTGCTTCCCCGGGAACATCCAGGGGACGTTGACCATGAAAGCCAAGACAATCTCGACAGACCGGTAACGGTCCAGGATGATGCGGTTAACAAGTGTTTTGCAGTGATTGGAAAGTCGCCGTGACAGGGCCGAGGCCGAGGGCATGAAGAGAGCGGCGGCGGCGGTGATGGAGGTGAACAGGAAGGCGGAGCGGGAGCGTGTGAAGGCGGCCGTGTAGAGTGCCGGGTCGAGGCCCCATCGTGTGTGAGCCAGATTGTGATGGAAGAAGTTGAAGAGCGTGTCGGCTTCGTCGGCGGTGATCAGCCCGAGATTGATCGGATCGAGGTCTGGGCCCGTATCGAGACTGAATTGGCTGAGCTTGAAGAACCTTTCGACCTCAGAGATCTTCTCGCTCTGTTTATTCTGGCGTGACCGTTGGTGGGACATGTTTTCGGCCGCCACGTGGTCGACCCCTGACTTGGGCGAGACATGCAGGTCTGACGCACGGGCGAGCAGTTGGAGAGGATTCTCGGCGTCATCGACGGCCAGGCTCTCCTCGCCGGCATGGCCTTGCGAAGGCGTAGATTCCTGTGGCGCACTCATACCATCCTGGTCCGAAGCCGAGCTATCGCCTGCGTCGGAGGAGGCGTCAGGAAGGAGAATGTCGCTTTGCTTTGATGCCCGGCGTAATTCCGCACCCCTAACTCCGGATTGATCGTGGTTGATGAGCGACAGTGGTCCATGTGGCCCGGGGCCGAGGAGAGATTTGAGATCCGAGACAACTTTGGCGGCTTCAATGCCAGTCCCGGTTCGGCGCAAGGCCTGCTCCACCTGATGCAATGCCTTCTCCAGTCCTGTGCGTTTGCTGTGCATGAGTTAGCAGACGCGCTTATCACTCATTCACCTGCAAGAAGCAGGCAAAGTTGGGGAGGCTAACTTTTTCACGCCCTTCCGGCGGCCGACGTGAAAGTCGGGACGCACACACTGAACACCCAATTGGAGGCAGCGGTGACAACGGTCGTCGTTCTGGGCGCGACCCTTTTCGCACTTGATCTTGGATCGGCGGCATACAAGACATGCCGCCGCCCTGCGACTGTTCTGGTCTCTGGGTGAGCCGCGGACGCCATCGGTAGCAGCCGTAATACTGTCCGACCGGTCCATCGCGTCGGCATCCATTTGCGCACCGCAGGCGCAACCCGTGTGGCTTTCGGCCGCTCAGTCCCCGCCTTTTGCGTCGTGTTGCGGGGAGTTGTTGCACCAGGCCGGGCAGTTGGGGTAATTGGGGGGGACCAGCTGAGTGGCAGTGTTGACAGCTGCCGGTAGGGGTCTTCAGGATGCTTTCCCAGCTGTCCGCGCTTTCACTGCCGAGGGAGAGAAACAACAGGATCGAAATGCCCGAACTTTGATAACTAACACGCAATCCCGAGCACCTTCGGAGTCGGCGTTGATGACAGTGTCGTCCCTTTGGACGATTCAACGTCCTTTATTATCGAGCTTTGGTTCGGCCCCGGTAGTACAGGTTCCGTTGGACAAATGTTGCATTCCATCCTCCTATCCTTCCCGGTTCGGACTCTGGACGAGGGTCTGTTAAATGCCCTCTTGTCCGGTGAGGATTTATCCGTTCCAGTGTGAGCCTATCGGTTTCTCCCGCCTTGGCCACACCATGGGTATTTGAGCATCCGGACAAATTCTGCCTGTCTGGTACCAAAGCCGAGCGACCGCCGGGCAAACGTCGTTTCGTTGCACCAAAGTAACCCCTGTTACCATTTCGGCCGGGGTGCCCGCCCCCGACCCCTTCCGCTTCAAAGCCGGTTACCTCGACACAGAAACACTGACACAGAAGCTTTTTCCCGGCCTTCTACTAACCTTCTCGATCATTGCTGCTTGCCGCTTGGCTTGAAAGAGAATGGGTACTGTACACGCCCCGCACCTCTTGACACTTCGCCGCAGAGTAGAATCGAACATCGGACGAAGCATGATCAGCTACGAAGTAATCCGTAGAGTGTGGGATTTCCAGCAACGCCCGATTTATATCCTGCAGCTAGGAAACTGCTCTGCCAACCCAAGATCGCTTATTCGCATGACTCGCGTGGCAGATACCGGCACGCATGGTCGGGGGCGAACAACTCGCAAGAGGTCATGGTTTAGCGCAAAGGTAAGGGGTAATGGAGTGTGTGTTTCGGTGCGAATAAATGTCCTGATCGAAGACATTTGCCAAAGGGGTTCCAAGCATGCGGAGATGAAGCTTGGCTCTTTGTGCCACTGGCCAGCTTCTGGTGGGTGGGCCGTTCCCCCCCAAATGCCGTGTGGGGCACGCACCCAGCAGCTTGGTTTGGCGCAAGACGCGACCCCTAGCCCGCACAGTCGCGTTTCTTCGCGTTCCACCTAAAGTTCGTCCCAACGTCGCCGGCTTCCCCTGGCCAACCTTCCTTCATCCATTTGTTCTCCTTAATTTACCCCACGGCCTAGCTTTATTTAATTTATCGAAGAACTCGTCGAACACGTCAAGATGGGGGAGAAATCGGCCACGGCTCGCACTCCTGCGAAGACGCCGTCGTCAGTGAAAAAGGCACCTTCAACGGGCAAGCAACAGAGCATCCTCGGCTTCTTCTCTAGGCCAGGAGCAGCCGGAAGCGCCAATGGAGCTAGCCCCTCACCCTCCACCAAACCAGCATCCAGAAACAAGAGGGACGCATCGCCCCAATGCCTGAAAGAAACGACCCGAGCCAACTCCATGCTCACGTCGAGACACACTACAACAACCACGCTCGTCCCCAGCAGCGATGCTATCGAACCCTCGAGGTCCCAGGAAAATAGAGAGACGAGTACTGTTAAGGTGATTAGGAAAGACATTTCCCCACTCACCGCACCCGCTAACATGATGCAGAAGTCGGTTGCCACTGTCAAGGCGAGCCTAAATAGCAGCCCGTCGCGGAAGGTGACTAGATATCCCACCAACCTCATCATTATCATATTCTAATACGTGTTCCACAGGTCAAAAAGGTTGTTAGCTACGCCGAATCCTCCGATGACGATGACGAAGCGGTTTTTGCGACCTTGAAGGCCAGGCGTTCTGGACAACGCCGCCCCCGCGCCGCCGTTCCAGATGAGGATGACGATGATGGGGACACATACGAGGCCGAGGCGAATGATTTTGAGGAGGAAGATGGTATTGTTGACCCTCCCCTCTTGGCGCACGCCGGGCTAATCAACATGTTTAGACGACTTGGGGGACTTCGTCGTCTCGGACGACTCTGACGCACCCTCCAAATCGAAGAAGCGGAAGCGACCAGCAGCCAAGTCTTCGGCCCCCCGCAAAAAGTCCAACTTTTCCTCCTCTCCCGCCCCTCCACCCCTTGATGACGATGAAGTGATGGAGGATATTCCGGCCTCGACATCGACCGCGCAAAAGTGGACGTACGACCCGGACAACGTTGAAACTCGTGACCCTGCGGCCAGGGCCCCCCCACGGAAGCCAACAGATCCAAAAACAAAACCCAAGGCACACACTAAGGAACCGGAGGATAGATACCCGTGGCTAGCCAACATTTTGGACGGCAACAAAAACCCCCCGGGGCACCCAGAGTTCGATCCTACTTCCATTTACATACCTCCGTTAGCTGAGCGGGGGTTCTCGCCGTTTGAGAAGCAGTATTGGGACATCAAGAAGAAGCTTTGGGACACTGTCGTCTTCTTCAAGAAGGGCAAGTTTTATGAGCTGTACGAGAACGACGCGACCATCGGGCACCAGCTGTTTGATCTCAAGCTCACCGACCGTGTCAACATGCGCATGGTGGGCGTCCCTGAGAGCTCATTGGACATGTGGGTCAACCAGTTTGTGGCAAAAGGATACAAAGTCGCTCGTGTCGACCAGATGGAATCTGCACTGGGTAAGGAGATGCGCGAGCGTGACAGCAACGCGAAAAAGGCCGACAAGATCATTCGCCGAGAGTTGGCATGCATCTTGACCGGCGGCACCCTCGTGGACGGCAGCATGTTGCAGGACGATATGGCCACATACTGTGCAGCCATCAAGGAGTCGGTCGTCAACGACAAGCCCGCCTTTGGTATTGCGTTTGTTGATGCCGCCACGGGACAGTTCTTCTTGTCCGAGTTTGAGGATGATGTTGACCTGACCAAGTTCGAAACGTTCGTCGCCCAGACGTCACCTCGAGAGTTGGTCCTGGAGAAATCGCGGTTGTCTACCAAGGCTTTGCGTATCCTGAAGAACAACACGGGCCCCACCACCATCTGGAACAACCTAAAGCCTGAGACAGAATTCTGGGGCGCCGATCTTGCGAGGCGTGAGCTGGAGTGTGGGGGCTATTTTGTCTCCGAGGGAGGCGCGGAGGAAGTGTGGCCCAAAACGCTCGCGGAGTCGAAAGACAAAGATTTGGCAATTTCAGCTATGGGAGGCTTGACTCATTACCTCCGTGTGCTCATGCTCGACCGCAACCTATTGTCACAGGGCAACTTCGCGTGGTACAACCCCATCCACCGAAACGGCACCCTAATTCTGGACGGCCAGAGCCTTATCAACCTGGAGATCTTCACCAACACGGCCAACAACGGCCCTGAGGGCACGCTGTTTAACCTCCTCAACCGCTGCATTACTCCATTTGGCAAGCGTCTCTTCCGCCAATGGGTTTGCCACCCATTATGCAACACTCAAAAGATCAATGAGAGGCTCGACGCTGTCGACATGCTCAATGCCGACCGCAGCATCCTGCAACAGTTTTCGTCGCAGATGGCTAAGATGCCAGACCTGGAGCGGCTGATTTCTCGTATCCATGCCGGTGCATGCCGGCCCCAAGACTTCGTCCGAGTTCTTGAGGGCTTCGAGCAGATCGACTATACGATGGGCCTTCTAGGTGCTTTTGGCGGCGGTAACGGCCTCGTGGACAGGCTTATCGCCTCCATGCCTGACCTCAAGGAGCCCCTAGGCTACTGGGAAACTGCATTTGACCGGACAATGGCCCGGGATGGCAAGCTTATCCCCGAGAAGGGCATCGAGGAGGACTTCGACAACAGCCAAAACGAGCTCGAGCGGATCAAGGGGGAGCTGCACGCCCTGCTCGAGAAGCAGAAGACAGCACTCAAGTGCAAGACAATCAAGTTTACTGACGTCGGCAAGGAGGTCTACCAGATCGAAGTTCCCAAGGCCGTCAAAGTGCCTACGAACTGGCGCCAGATGTCGGCCACATCGGCCGTCAAGCGCTACTACTTCCGAGCATTAGAAGATCTTGTCCGGGAGCTTCAAGAAACTGAGGAGACACACTCACAGATCTTGAAGGAAGTAGCCTCAAGATTCTCCAAGCGGTTCGACATGGACTATGAAGTTTGGCTGCAGGCGATCCGCATCATTGCGCAGTTGGACTGCCTGACCAGCCTTGCGAAGTCGTCATCTGCTCTCGGCGTGCCCAGCTGCCGCCCGGTGTTTATCGACGAGGACCGAAGCGTGGTCGAGTTTAAGGAGCTCCGCCATCCTTGCATGACCAACAGCGTCGACGACTTTATCCCCAACGACATCAAACTGGGCGGCGACGAAGCCAAGATCAACCTGCTCACAGGTGCAAACGCAGCTGGCAAGTCGACCATCCTCCGCATGGTAAGTCGAGAACACCCTTCCCTCCTTTTACCCTGGAAGCTAACCCTATATCCAGTCCTGCATCGCGGTTATCATGGCCCAGATAGGCTGCTATGTCCCCGCCCTTTCAGCCACGCTCACTCCCATCGACCGCATCATGTCGCGCCTTGGGGCCAATGACAACATCTTCGCGGCACAGAGCACCTTCTTCGTGGAGCTCTCCGAGACCAAGAAGATCCTCTCCGAGGCGACACCGCGCTCGCTCGTAATCCTGGATGAGCTCGGCCGCGGCACGTCGTCGTACGACGGCGTGGCGGTCGCGCAAGCGGTGCTGCACCACGTGGCGTCGCACATTGGGTGCGTCGGCTTCTTTGCGACGCACTACCACAGCCTGGCGGCCGAGTTCGCGCAGCATCCGGAGGTGCGCGCGCGGCGCATGCAGATCGACGTCGACGAGGCGCGCAAGCGCGTCACCTTCCTCTACCGCCTCGAGGACGGCGTCGCCGAGGGCTCCTTCGGCATGCACTGCGCCGCCATGTGCGGCATCCCTGGAAGGGTCATCGACAGGGCTGAGGTTGCGGCCCGCGAGTGGGAGCACACGAGCCGGTTGAAGGAAAGCTTGGAGAGGGCGAAGATGGGCTGTTATATCCCGCTGGGCGTGCTCAGTGATGTGGCGAGCTTGCTGGGGGATGGCGAGGAGGTCGGGGAGAGGGGAGTGGAGGTGTTGTTGAAGGCTATCGAGGCACTTTGAGGCGCTTTGAAGAAGTGTGCTTGCTAGGAGAAGTGCTTTGGGTGCAGCGGTTGCTTGAGATCGTAATCGTGGCTCTGGCGAAGACTTGGCTAAGGGGGGTAATAATGGGACGGAGTCTGGGATGTTTGCTGGAGTCAAGGTGCTGTAGAGGGATATTATTTCCAAGTCACTCTTGCGAGAATGTGTTTTTTTTGTTAGATAATTAAGAGAGCCTTGCTAAGAGACAGTCATATAGAATAAGCTTGAAGTGAATGGTTGGTTTCTTCACCCAGTGCTGCGTGTCTGGATCCGACCGTTCTAGTTCGGACGTCAAGTCCGGGGCCGACCTCGTAACTCTTCCATCTTGGCCAACGTCATATCCCTCATCATTGAGTTGTCAGCGGAAGTCTCCGCTTATTGATATCGTAAAAGAAGAATGACTGGTTTATGTTTAGTTATGCATGAGTTGGATGAGTGTTACTAATTGAATCGTAGCAAGCATGGAACCTCTTCTATCGATACCTTACTCAGAGAGTAACAGTACTACCTCGGGATTTTCATCTTGTTCGTCAGGCCCAACGCCGCCGTGATTAGCCCTTTGCCCGCTCGAGATACAGGGAGCCAATTCACAGCTGGGACCACATTTGGCTACACCGCCGGCGACGGACAAACTGGATCGGCTAGGAATCAGTGAGTAAGAGTTATCGGCTCATAAAAGCCAAGATCCATGCCAAGTCATAATGGCGCTAAATTTCAGCTTGATGTAATATGCTAACCCATCTATCAGGAGGAAAGGGGCAGGATAGAAATGGGCGGAAGTCGGAACGAATTGGTGAAAGGGAGTGAACAACCCAGACACAAACACGGATGGCAGATGGACGCGCCGCATCGCTTTGCTGCACACTTGGCCAACAACATCAAAACATTAGCTTGGTGGGTGGGCGGCCACGCTGTTGGTTCGATGTCTTGCTTCTCATGTTGACTTGGCCGTAGGCCAGCAGACCAACCGAATTTTGAAGCTGGACCTGGGCCAATAATCAGGTGCTGTGGCGAGCATCACCCAATCCCGCACGATATTGGGTCCCGAAGCTCTGGGACACAGTCCAACAAACCGCCAAATTTAGGAACTGGCCAGCTGATCTTGTTCCAGCTCCTGATGCGAAAGGGGCACGGCCAACAAAGCTCGGCATCATGGTGACCTCGAATATTCTAGACAGGAGGTGAGTTTTGGATGGGGGCTCTTATGTTGGCTCCCTGTTTCGATTTGAGACAAGCTGAAAATAACCAGAGAAGGCTCAGACCTCAGAAGCTCGGAGTCTTGAAGCCGCGGTGGCGTGCCAGTTTTGTTTCCTCCGGTTGAGGGTTTCGAATCAGGAAACCCATCTCACCTCGTTGTCCTGTCAAGATATCCGCTATGGAAAATCATGATAGGTTGTGTTATTATGGACAGATTGGCCGGCAACTACTCTGTATTCAGCGAGACCATTCCCACCGCAACCTCGGTCAAGCACTCAACACACCAGAGTCCAGAGCTCCCTGCCAACCTGAGACCGGGCCCAATGTGGATGCTGGGCCACGTAAACTCAGTAGTTTGATCAGCACGCCGACCCAACCGAGCCACGAGGCTAATATTCAGAACAGAAGTAGTGGGCAGCGGTGATGTTGGATCCGGCCTGGGGTTTGAATACCTTGGTGCTCGCTCCGATACCCTTCACATGGGTGGTGGTCATGACCTGCCAATATCGAACCATGGCATAATGCCCGCAATTTGCAGACGTATGGAAATACCATTGGTGGGCATTTGTCTTGTTAAACTCTCCCAAGTAGTATTTGAGAAGGTCGAACATTTTTTCCATCGCTTCATGGGCGAGTTTGCCGGCCCTGGGGGAGACGAACCCTTTGTACCCCGTTTTTGGGTTGTCCTTGAAAAGACCAGCAAAGCTATCGACATGTTCTTCTTCGTAATGGTACCAAATTGTTCGAAGGTGCAGGTACTCGGCATGCGAGATCCCGGAAGCCGAGTTGTCAAAGGGACAGTCTGAGACCACGAGATGGTGGAAGTTTCCTTGCGTTCTGACTCCACTAGGAATGGTTGATTCGTTTCTAACGGTGGTCGCCCACTCTTTGGCGGTGCGAGCGATGGCGCCAGGTTGCCGTTGTTTGTGGGGGTCCATGTCAAGAATAGGTTTTGAGGGAAAAGGACTGTGAAAGATGTGTGGCTGGGGAATCGATGGATTTCGAGCACGCTGTTGGTGTAGGGCTGGCAAATGATGTCGACAGTGCCGGTGTTGATGCTGGTGTTGATGCTGGTGCTTGTGAACTGGAAGGTAAAGAGGAAATGCTGGATCTATTTATCCCCTATCCCCAAGCTGCTCGTAGCGATAGCCTGGTTAGTGTTATTCGGTCACCCTTGATGGGTGAAACAAGACCAGCCGGCAGGCGGCCCAACGTACCAGAAGGTTTGCGGCTACATGATCAACCTTGATCCCATAACTAGTGCTTATGCTCACCACCCTCCAAGGGGCAGGATGTCGAGATGGTGGGTGGTTGGGCGGCACAAAGGACCGCCGCAAGGTCACAGCTACGGCCTGGCCTGTGATGGCAAGCTTGCTTCAGACGACAACACCACGGACCGGCCGCAAACGCCTCCGGACCAGCAAATTTCTGAATCTGGTTCACTCTCAAAGTCCGGAACACCGGCAACTAAATCGTACCCTGTGGCCAGAGGAACCGCAGAGAACCTGCCCTCGGCAGACGAGGCATATGTGAACACAGCTCTGCTTCTGTTACTCCAGGCCGTCACACAGGACTTCCGCCACCAGGTCAACTCGCTACATTGGGCCCCTCCCCGGATGGCACTGCACCTGCGAGTTCCAGCGTTGGGCGAAAACAAGAAGTACGCGAAGATGGACTTGTTGGAAGCACGAGTAGACGGGTACCTGTGCTCGATCAGCGACAACGGATCGGACGCTGGTCTAGACAAGCCGCTGGCCATTTGCGAGGCCAAGTCCGCCGTGCGGCACTCAATCAAGGTAGCCACTGAAAGACAAGAGGCCGCGGAGATGGCTGCCTGGATATGCCGGCATTCCGGAAATGAGGGACTTCTACAGAGCTCTGCTAGCGGCAGAAAGAGATAAGTACCGCACCCGGGAGGGCCTCAGGGGTTTACTTCGCTGACCACGCAACTTCTTCTCAGGCGCCTCATGATTTCCCAAAATCGCCATGAGATTTACATCATTGTCGGAGAGTACGGTCCTGAATACGAAGCGTACATCCATGCTGAAACGGACAAACGGATACAGAGGTCACAAGTCATGGTGGTGGTTGACAGGGAGCCCTGTAGCCCTATCTCTCTCTGTATATAGATTTAGAGAGCCTCCCACCTCTTGGAGCTCCAAAAAAAAATGCAAGTAACCTTACGCATAACCATGCACCCTTCAACAATCCAAAACAAGAGCACCACGGCGGGCATGACAACGGCACAGGCGAAAAAGGCGGTGGCCGCAATCTCGACCACGCCGGTGTACGACCTCGGCGAGACACTCGGCTCGCCCGCCTTCCTGGACCAGGCTTATGCGTTGAATCTGGGAGACCGTGTTGATGGCTGGGATAAGCCAGAAATACAAGCCGTCATCGCCGCCCGAAGACCACCGCCGCCGGACGGCGGCGGCCCCTCGGGTGGTGGCGGGCCTGGCGCATCGTCGAAGCCACCACCATCGAATGGCGGTTCCCGCTCATCTTCGACGGCACCCAAGAGTGGTGGCAACAAACCTCCCGCGGGGCCCAGTAGCATTTCTGGAAGCCTCCCGTTGCGGCCGGCTTCTCCTCCAAAGCCCAAGGAAGGGGCGCCCGACCGCGACAACCGCAGCAGGCCAACGACAAGGTTATCGGCTGCGAAGGTCAAGGCCGACGCCAACACTAAGGCCAATGTCGGGCCAGGCCACCGGCCTGGTAGCGGCACTCCCCCAACGCCACCAGATCTAGGGCTGCCCAGGATCGGTGAGTTCCTGGTCATGCACCGGTTCGGACCGTGGAAAACAAACGACATGTCCAACATGAAAGTCTTCATTCGTCGGCTGCTGGGTTTGATGCCGGAGTTGAAGAACCCTTAGCTGCCTCCAGGCATGATGGTCCGTCTGTTCGGCCGTTCCTTGGTTCTTCCCCGCCGCGCAGGTCGTGGCCACGAGTACACCGAAGGATCCGCATGTACGCCGCCGTGCTGTTATGGATTCGCACCTAGGCCAGCTGGGTTTTGCCTTGGATTGTGGAAGCGTGCGAGAAGGCCGGCGTTTGGGTGTTTTCTCGTTTTGCTCTTTCGGGTTGTGCCCCTTTTCAGTTTTCCCACCTCTGTCATTCTCGGAAGTTGTGGCACTTGAGACACGGAATCTCGGCTGCCGATGCGCTAGTTAACTAGTGCTAAAGGGGTTCCAGGGGCTGAATAAGAAGCAATAAAAGGAGGTCAGGGCGGGGCCCGCCACTGACGACAGAAACAAGGACAACCTTCAATTGATGACTTCTGGGCTGCTCCGAGAATCCCAACCAGATTGTTGTAAGCTCCATCATCTGTGAGATAACCGTGGAGCCGTGGCTGTTGGTCTTCCAACACATTCATTTCTCCCCGAGTCCCTGCGCCGAGCCCCGGACGCATATTATCCTTTCGTTATCTCATCTGACCCACCCATCATTCATCATCAGCGGAGCTCAGAGCTGTGAAGCTCGTGTCTCCCCGGTTTTGCTTTTTTTTTTGTTTCCCAAGTATTCGGTTGTTTCCGGTCTTGTCCAGTCATTTCCCAGGTAGCATTAGTAGAACAATAACATCTACAACATCAATCCCGGAGCCGGTCTCTAGCCCTAATCTTGACGCTTCGAGCACTTGAGCGAAGAATCTCAATTCTCAAATAGGTAGTTACTGCCTAGGTGATGGCTCTTCATTGTTTCGCCGGCATGCGCATCTGCCTGCTGTTGTGGACCATGGTGTTGGAAGACCAACAGCCACGATTCCACGGTTATCTCACAGATGATGGAGCTTACAACAGTCTGGTTGTAATGCTCGGAGCAGCCCAGAAGTCATCGATTGAAGGTTGTTCTTATTTTCCTCAGTGGCGGGCATCGTCCTGACCTCCCTTTTATAGCTTGTTGTTCAGCCCTTGGAACCCCTCTAACACTAGCGCATCGGCAACCAAAATTCCGAGTTTCAAGTGCCACAATTCTAACACATGGTCAGTCTCTTGGTCCGCCCTTCCGCAATCCCACAATGTGGCGTGGCCGTCTGTGATTCGTTCGTTTGCCCGCCCATATCCTTCGAGGCGGCCAAAAAGGCCTCGATCGCTCTCGAAGCAAACAAATGCTAAAAGGTCAAAAGGTTAAAAGGTTAATCAGTTACGAAATCTTCACCCTGTGCTGCTACCCACTCTCTTACCATCCAGTATCTACACAACACCGTTTTGAGCCTTCATTTTCCAGCTGGCAGGCCAATCCCACGGCCCACTCGCAATGTCGACCAAGTTAACACATCTCGAGACCCTCCGTCGCACCGAGGTTGAGCAAGAGCAAATCAAGAAGCTTCTAACGAATCGGGAGCGATTTGGATGGACAAATATAGACCGAAGTACAGAGGCTCGGAATGGGTGTTTGGGATTCTCAAATCCCATTGGTTTGTGCAATGTTTCGAAGCACTCCATGAGTTGGAACCAGAGCTCTGGGAACCTTGGAAGTAATTACACCACATACCATCTACTGAAACGCTCCCAACATACGTACTGACGAGTGTACCACTAGCACCGACCCACAAATGATCCGTGAAGGAACAGGGCTTGATCTTCCCTTCCACAACTTCGCGCACCACTGGCCGTACATTAACCGCGAGTATCAATCGGTGTGCGCCTACTTCCCCGTCAATACGTCAAGACCCCACGTTGCTTGCCTAGTCGCCGATTCAATGGAAGCCTCGACCACCGGCGGCCAAGCCCTCCGGAGCGACGTCGACTATGCTATTGCAATGGTGTTGTGGCAGCTCAGCGAAGGCCAGCACACCAACCACCACACGAAACCAGTGCGCTCCCATTTCCCTTTCGCAACCCCCCTCGCTCAGCCCCCCTTCGCAACACCATCAAACCCCTTGCTCAAACCCCTCCGCAACACCATCCACCCCCCACACCCATCCAACCTCTAACAACCCCCCCAGGCCCTAATCTACACCCTCGAGCGCGACCAGCACGCGCGCATCACGCAAGCCCACTTCGACAGCAAGCGGCAAAAACTCGTCCTGCGCCAGTCGCGCCACCTGGACCTGAGCGGGCCCGAGCCCACGCCCGACGCCTTCCTGCTGCTGCGCTGGATCGCCTGCCGCCCGGCGGGGGAGACCGAGTACCCCGAGGAAGGGGGGGATGGTGGAGGTGAGGAGGGGGATGGGGATAGGGATGGCGGGGATGGGGATGGGGATGGGGATGGGGATGGCGGGGAGGGGGACCCGCCTGGTGTGGCGCCGCGGTTGGTGGTAGTGGGGTGTGCTTGAAGTTCGTTATATGGTGGGTGCGAGAGGGTCGTGGTTTGGGTTGTGGTTGTGCTTGCTGGCTAGCTGGAAGGGAAGGTTGGATAGCGGCGTATTCGGACGTGTTTGTGATTGGGGTTATTATGGACTATACAGCGGGCATCACTACAAGGACGGGATTTTCTTTTGTCTCGTTTCTTTTTTTCGTTGCGTTCTCCCCTTGAGCGGCATACATTTAATCAAGCAAGACTTCAGGGGCTATTTAGGGGGCTCAGGGGCATGGAATATAATCAGGCAAGTCAGAACTTTTCATTTCGCATACGTCACGCAAAGGACTGATCCATTGAATGTAAACTAAATATACCCCAGCTCCTTGAGGACCTCCAGCTTCTAGGTTGTCGTTGTCCTCCTTCGTGAACACGGGGACGTGGCCGGCACCCTCCTCTCGGACCCAACCCTGCCGCGGGTCGCACGACATCGTGAGTCGCTCTCGCTTGATCCATTTCACCCGAATTCGATCGCTCACTGCTTTCGGTCTCGATGATTCCTGAGACTCTGTGATAATCGCCAACGCCTTAGCCAGCTTCTCATGGCTCTCTTCTTGAACGAACTTGGCGGTGTACTCTTTATACAACGAGTACCAGCTGAACCACTGGCTGGACGAGCCAGCCTGCGTGTCCTTGAACCAGGATTCGTAGACAAGAGGGAAGAAGCCGGCTATCTCCCAGTCGAGGATTGCAGCTAGTTCATACATGCCGCTCTCGCCAACCTGCTTGACGAGGATATTGCGGGGCTCTAGGTCATTGTGACAGAAAAATATATGGTCCATGAGATAGTCGAGGTCGGACTGGCTGAGCCCAATCTCGCCAATTCCATCGATGGCTGACCGCACGACAATCCCGTTGTTTGTGTCGAGAATATCGCACTCCTTCGACTTAATCGCTCTCTTTTCAAGCACCTCTTCCAAGAGCTGCTTGATGTTGGAGTAAAAGCCGGTGTGCAGACTGCCGAGAGAAGCTTTGCCCAAGAGTTGAGATTCCGGGTGTTTCTTGTAATACTGCTGGATGATCTGCTGGACCTCGGGGTTCTGGATTGAAACCTTGTTGAACTGCCCCATTGCAGCGACTAGGGCTTCCATCAAAGACCGTTGGTTGCTCCCATCAAGCCCCATCCAGACTTCTTCGAGCACAGTAGTCCCAGCTATGAAGGGTGTGACGCAGTAATCTACCTGTCTGCCACGCCCGTTGGTGACGGACCCCACGGCCAGCGTTGCGGGGACGAGATGCGGAATCTGAAGCTGCGCCAGACGTTGCAACTTGACTACGGCCGGGAGATGACTTCCGGAAGTCTCCAGCCGAATGATCAGGTCTGCGGAGAATCCCGGTCGTGGTTCGGTGGCAAGCTTGAGTCGGAACGTGCAGGTATCAAACGTGTTGGAAAGGACCGTACAGAGATCAGTCGTAATGTCGGGGACATCGGGGAAGATCTCGGAGAGGATCCGCTGATCCGGAAGAAGGTCCCTGTCGTCGGGCATGATGGAGATTTGGATGCGTGTGTAGTTCGGTGTGTGGTTTGGTATGTCTCTGGTTCAGTATTTCTGCCGTTGAGAAGTGCGGCAGCGGGATGATTTATAGAGAATGGGTGAGTGGTCAGTCCTACAGAACCTCCAGATCAAACAGTGCATACGGGGCCAAAGAAAGACAGCAACAAAGCGCTTTGGTACCAATTGGTCAAGTTGACCGCGGACCAGACTCAAGGCAGGCATACAGAGGTACATAAGTACCCAGGTACCCGTATAGGTACTTACCCGATGGCTGTGGCTGCAATTGGAAGTGGGAAAAGCACCCAGCTTCCAGGTTCAAATCTGGTCAAAAATACCATCACGGCGAGCTGGTTGACCTATCCTTGGAAAGAATAATAATGGTATTGTTTGCCATTTCAATGTTTGCGGAACGCTCGACTGGCATGTGGCGCCTTTGTAGGAGTCCGTTGATCAAATCCACAGAGGGATCAAACATAGCTCTCTTATGAGCAGGGCGGGGGTAGTTATATGAATTGTTTTGGGCGTCTATCGCGGTTGTATCAAAAGCTCAAGTTATAAAGATGTATCAAGTCGACAAAGGTGCAGAGGTACCACTCCAGACGGCCTGGTCATGCTATATAAGCCAACGCTGTCAACCCTTGATGTGGTATATTGCTTTCATTATTAACAAGAGCAACGCCTACAACAACTCCAGCTACTCACCGTCCATCTCACTGCAACTTTTACCCAAACCAGAGTGGCCCTAGAGCTGACCCTTTTCTTCCTACCAAAAGAAACCAAAAGAACCATCCCTGACCCCAGTCGCAATGGCGGCTTCAATCTCCACCCCACCGGTTAACGAGAGCAGGTGTGGTAGGTGTGGTAAGAACTTCGCGGGTCCGACAGTAACGTGTACGTGTTACTCAAACTAGACGGCTCCGACCTAGACTTCCACCTGCTGAGAACCAGAAGATTACAGAATGGCTAGCATCCATCTTCGGCGAAGTTGGATATGGATTAGATACCTAGCTATATACCGTACCCCAAATACCCCTAGATCCAAATACACCTAGTTGTATCCCGATGAAGCTGTGAGTCTTTGTAGGCGCGCTGTTTCGCCCGTAGTATTATACCCTGTTCGAACAAGCAAATGATTTGTCACAAACGGTTAGTTGGTATTCTTAGGTGGCATGAAGAAATGGTTGAGGTAGAAAGAAGTGACCACATGAAGTCAGTTTCCCGGAATGGCGGGATTAATCAACCCAGTAATTAGTCCGCACATGGCAAGGACCACCGTATCGGTGGCCTCCTCGCCATTCACATCACCAACATAGCCAAGCCTGCCCATGCCAACTTTTGCGAATGCCATGGCCGCCTGGCCGGAGCATCCGCTCGGGGTGTACCAGGCCGCTGATGGTGCCACCTTTCTCAAAAAGAGGGCCTTCTGGCTGGATGTAGATGGTAGCCAGGCTGCCAGGCGGCCATGAACAGCATCACGCGCAAGACTGACCGTGGTTCGTTCGTACAACCCTCGTTCCCAGGGGAGCCCAAGCCTGGCAAAAAGCCGACTGAGCTGGCCCCTGCTCACCATGTTGCTGAAACAGCCAACCAGAACGACGGTGGCGCCATTACGGAGGCAGCCTATGACGGCTTCGCAGACCTTCCGGTGTTTGGTTATACCCTCATCCCAGGCAATGATAATCTGCGGCGTGATTTGTCTGCTGAGGATGGCCAGGGCGGCCTCTACCGTCGTAGCTTGCTCCATCTTAGCTTTTGAAGCGATATGAGCAGCGAGGCGTCCATGAACAGAGCCGAACGAGGGTTCCAGACAGACCAGAAAGACAGAGGGTTGTCTCTCAGACACGACAACATCACTGAACTCCATTACGGCTGGCTTGTCGGCAGCCGCTTTTGCAGCCCTGTCGGCGTCGCCGTTTGGCAACCTTGGGATCCTCCAAAACTCAACATGCCCTCACGTGCATCCCATCTCTCCACCTCCTCCAACAAGAGTTCCCAGATATCTCTATTTTTGACGCCGCGGCCGTTCCGCCCCTTCCCGCCATCAGCCGGACCCAACACGACCGCCCAGCCGTCACGGGGATTGGTTTGTCCGTTATTGACGCAGGCGCCGTTGGTGTATACAAGGGCTGTCTCCCGGTCGTTTCGGTTGACGAACCGTACGGTCTGGCTGCTCTGGTGAAGGGCCGTGGGAGTGGACAGGAAAAGGTTGGCTGGATGGGACGTCGGTAACGGTGGCTGGAACTTTGATGGGAAGGCGGCTCTGGTAGCTCGGTGTTCAGGCAAGTTCGCTGTTTTCTTCAATGCTTCGTGTCCCTGCCATCGAGGGTCACCGGTACCGGTGCCGGTAAGGTGACCTCCATATACTGGCGTGAGCTGCGCGGTATCCGAGTCAACCCTGGCGATAGCGCCCTCACTCTCTTCCCAGGCTGCCCGACATAGGTGAACAGCTCGGTGAGCCTCCTCGACGTTTCCAGGCTTGTAATGGTCCGGCAAAGATGCTATCTCGTGGTCGACCAAAGCTTCCCAAAAATATGCGGATTGGCACCGTTCACCATTTGACAGAGCTTGTAATAATGGTCTCGAACCGCCTTGAGCTTTGCCCAGGGTTTCCGAAGAGATCGCAGACGGCCTCGGACTAGGCTTCCCAAGGGCCGGTCATAAGTGTCCTCGTCGTAACAGCGGTATTCTAACTGGCTAAGCTGTTCTAAGGTCGAGGTATATGCGCAGTTTGAGAAGGGTGAGAGTTGCGAGATGGTTGAGGCTTAGATCCACTGCGCAGAATGCCTTGATGCGCTCGAAAGCGTTGATATTCTGGTGGGTGTATGTGTCGTTGTGAGCCTCGAGGGCCGATCGCATGAGAAAGTCATAGCATTCTTGCTTGCTTCCAAGACGCAGTAGCAGGCTGGGAATAATGTCCCCCACACCTAGACTGTCGCTTTTGTCGAGACGAAGCATGTCGGTAAAGTGAGTGAGCGCTTTCTCGACGGCAGTCACGGTGTCGATTTTAAGGAGGGCTTCTGCGGCCGCGAATTTCATCCTCAAGTACTTGCGCGTCTCACAATACTGTCCAAAATCCCCAACGACCGTGTTGAAAACATCGACTGGCAGCGACATATCGCCAGGGTGGGCTCGAAGTGCTTGTTTTTCCCTCCAAAGCTGTACATGGCTCCTCTTGATGGTATCACAAGCTGCCTTGTGGTAAGGTCGGTCAATCGCCTGGTGGGCGGCGCCACAGTAAAAGACGACCATGCAGCTCCTGCACACGACCAACGGAGAGAGGGTTTGTTTCGCACAAACGGCGCATCTCCTGGGTCTGATGCCGTACGGACCCACGTCCAACACGTTGTTGTCGTCGTCGTCGTCGTCGTCGTCGTCGTCTGAGACAGCCTGGGTACCATAAGCGACGTCATGATAAACATGAGGAACTTGGATTGTGGGAATCTGCAATGCAAGCTCGATGGAACCAAGGGTACCGTGCGCCATGGCGATTGAGGCCCCGACTGATTCTGGGTGCTCTAGCCGTGAAACCGGTATTGCCGACAGTTGGGTATTGAGTTCTAATCCTCTGGGGTCACCTGAGATGTCTAAGCACCTCGGTAGGTAAGGTAGACATTGTGGTGGAAGCGGCTTTGGGTTTTATTTGCGAGTGGGAAAGTTGAACGAAGGTGACCGTCATAGAGTCTGCAACCTTGTGCAGAAAGATAGGCCATGTTTGTGGCCAGGAATGACGGGACGGAATGCGGGCAGTGGTCGGGGCTTTCCAACGTTTCAAAATAGACATTCAAGGCCACCATTCATTCAAGCCTGTTATTTGAAAAGAGGCTTGAAGATAACTAACGCCAGCCTTACACGATATTTTGTCGCCCTGAGTTCCACTGCCATTGACTCTATCAGTTTCATGCCCCCCCGGCTCCGGTAGTACTCTGGAAACCTAACCCATGTCCCCAATGCGGCACAGCAAGAAGGACGAAGGATGAGAACCTGGGGATAAAGTGTCGCAATGTGTGAAACAGGAACCCCTTGGGCGCCCCTGCATCATGTCATTTCCAGATTTACAAGGCATACCAAACCATCCTTACAAAGGCTGCTCTCCCCCCAACAAAATTTGACATGTAACCAATCTACCCGACCAATTCACCAACATCCATCGGCGCTTACAATGTCGCGAGTCACCCAGGTAATAGTAACGACGGTCGAGGACGCGGATGGATGGAAACAAGTTGGCGCCCTCACCACCACCTTCACCCCGCCCGCTTCATGTACCAAAATCCTCGAGACAAGCAGCAGCAGCCTCGCGATTCTAGGGGCCGATTTCTTCAACCAGGACAGTTGTTACCCAGACGTCGACGACCAACCCCTGATTAGGGCCTACTTCCGACCCGGCTTAATCTGTCCCTCAGGATGGGCGGGCGAGAACATCTTCGGGGGCACCGCAGGAACGGACCCCAAGCTCGTCCTCCCGTCACTGCGCCCCGATGAGACCGCGGTTGTCTGCTGCCCCAGCGGCCTCCGCTACACCGAAACCCTTCTCTCATTCGCTCCCGGCGTGGGTGGTTGGTGCTTGGGGACCCTGACAGCGCCAACATCCATCGAAGGCCGGCAGTGTGCCAACTGCGACGGCGAACCGACCCCCCTCCCCATCAGAAACGCGAACAACATCCCCATGACCCTGCTCCAAACCACAATCCTCTTCCGCACCGCAACAGACGCCAACAACACCCCCAACCTATCAACCACAAGCACCACCACCAGCAACCCTAACACCACCACCCCCCCACCAACCGACACTAACCCCCCCAACCCCAACCCCAACACCACCTCCCCCACACCAAAACGGCTGCCATCGCCGCCGGCATCTCAGCCAGTATCCTCGCCCTCGCCATCATCGCCGCAAGCACCTTC